AGAAATAAGAAAACAACAAATAATTTCATCATGATTCATGTCCTTTTTTGTCATTATACACACTAAAAGCAATTCTAATAAAAATTTACCAAACACTTTGATTGCTCAAAGCACTTTTTTCAAATATAGTTTACCAAACGCCTAATTGATTTTTTTCACAGCTGATTATTTTTGCAGCACAGCAGAAGCAGTTTTTTTAAAAGCACAGCAATGCCAAACTAGCCCTAACTCCTACCCAACAAAACGACGCGTACAATGTATTCCATTAGGTCATCTTCTTCGCGTTTACCACCCGGTGCTGCCGCCGCAAGCTCGTGGAGCAGATCCAGCCAAATCTCTTCTTATAGATTACCACATGGTGCCGCCTAAAGCTCTCGGAAATGAAGGATCCTAGGCCGATTTTTCGAACACTAGCAGCATATGCATGTGTATGATATTTAAAAACCAGTTGGTAGGAAATGGAAGGTGATGAATGATTCTGACACAGACAATGTACAACATGAATATAAATTAATGCAAAAATATTTCCTGGGCAGAGTGATACGTACAGAACTCGTCACCGGGGACAGGAGGCAGGCAGAGTTGGAATGCTGGATAAAAGAGCTAGCTATTCCGTTTCATTAATATATATATATATATATATATATATATATAGAGAGAGAGAGAGAGAGAGAGAGATGGTACAATACCACTCGTGTTCTGCATATTTTATGGTTGATTGTGCAATGCATCCGATGACATTGTTACCGAATTGAAGATACTCATGCTATATATTATAAGTAAAATATAGGTGCTGATGGGGTTTGTGATCCGGTGGTGGGGAGACGATGCATAAACATTGCTGATATAGTTTTTAGATCCAGATCGAAATCACGTTGTGACTGATTCAGCTGTGAAGAGGATGAGTTGCTCTTGTCTCCCGAACCGTGCACAGAAGACGAGGAGGTGACATGAGCTTCATGAATGAGGTTATAAAATCACGTTGTGACTGATTCAGCTGTGAAGAGGATGAGTTGCTCTTGTCTCCCGAACCGTGTGATATATATTGAACAGATGCCAAAGGGAAGGAAAGCAAACTGAAACACCAAATTGAACATTCAACTGCAAAGTACAAGAATTGTTGTGTCTGCATTTACATGTGAGCTATGCAATGGACCTGCAATATTATAATATGGCATATATAAATGTATTTCATGAAGAAAAGCACAGGAAAATTCAAATGCTTGTAACAAGGTTCTGAGTCTCTGGCACTGACAATATGTAACCACATGATTTTAATTGATTTCTTAATGTAAAATATTGTGTTAGTTGATCATTTCCATTGAATTTATATATTTCCGAGGCAGAGTTACAGAGAACTCGTCTCCATGGAGGCAGGCAAGTAGGGCTGGAATGCTGGATAGAAGAGTTATTGCCTTACTGTTATACGTGTTGAATATGATACAATACCACTCGTGTACTACATATTCTGTGGTTTGTTGTGTAGTTTATCAGATATTGTTACTCCTTTGAAGATGCTCATATTATATTATATTTAAAACAGGGTTGGGTGATCCGTGGGCGATCAGCTGGTGTGGAGACAGTGCATAAACATCATTGATATAATTTTTTGATCCAGATTGAAATCGCACTGCCACTCATTGAGTTGTTAGGCAGCTGAGTTGCTCTTGTCTCCCATACCATGTTATATATATTGAGCAGATGACAGAGGGAAAAAGGGCAGACTTATACACCTAATTGAACATTCAATTGCAACAAGTACATCTCACCTTCTCTTTTCCCATAGAAGAAATGGCTGCCTTTCCCTTAAACTCAAAATCACATATCCATGCTCGCTCTAACAGCTTGCCTTCAACATCACACCCTTTTGTTACAGAATTTGAGGAGAACTTGTGCAGATTAAAGGCTTCAGAAACTGTCTCTTCATCATCATCCTCATCCATAAGTCACAAACTAAATAGACTTCGGTATTTGCATAAATGTGTTGAAAATTTTCTCCTTTTGCCATTCACTCAACAAGCCTTGGCACAGGAGTGTGGAGACAAATGGATCAATGAACTACTAGATGGATTTTTGAGGCTCCTGGATGTGTGTGGCATCATTAAGGATGCCCTTTTGCAAACAAAGGAATGCACGCATGAACTTCAATCAATTATGCGCAGAAGACGAGGAGGTGACATGAGCTTCCTGAGTGAGGTTTGAAAATACCTTGCCTCTAGGAAGGATGTCAATAAGGCCATGAACAATGCCTTAAAGGTCAGGGAAAGTAACTGCACAGACAAAAACCACGAGACTCCGGCTGTGGTCAACATGTTGAAAGAGTTAGAAGCGGTCACTGTTGCTTTGTTTGAATCCTTGTTGTCCTTTATAGCTGGTTCAAAATCAAAATCAAGCAGTTGGTCATTTGTTTCCAAGCTGGTGCAGCCCAAAAGAGTAGCTTGTGAGGGCGAGGAAGTTGCAAATACGAATGAACTTGAGAAGGTGGATGCTGCATTGCAATCCCTTGTTAGTCACAAGTCAAAAAAATCTGGTAACACAATGCAAGTCGAGGATGTGCAAATTTGGCTCCAGGATTTGGAGGCAAACATTCAAGACATTGAAGAAGGACTTGAGTGCCTGTTCAGGCGCTTAATCAAAACCAGAGTTTCCCTTCTCAACATATTCAGCCATTAGGCATGAAAATCATCATGCAGTATAGAATAGGCATCCAATTTTGTAGAGATTAAACAAACATACTTGTATATTAAAGAGATATATGCTTATTTTCTTTTCAGATTCAAAAGTAATATGCCCCTTTGACACAACATATCTGCTCTCTGTCTTTGCTTTTTCCATCTTTTTTTAATTTCAATACCAATGCCATTATAGAAAAACTCAAAGCTAATTCAACCAAGTGCCTGTTTTTTATCAATACTTAGATTTCAACTCTAAGCATCAGAATATGAGGCTAGCTTCTGCCAAATTTCGTGTAATTTAATTCGTCTTATTGTTGTCAAGATTCCATTTGTCTCAAATTGTGATTAAACACAGATAACAATTCTTAAGATTCACATGGTAGCTCCACAGAAGTAATTAAGAATGATAAGTTTAACACAATGTGCATTGTAGATTTAAACCTCCACATGTCTTCTTCTCTTTGTAGGGGACATGATTGCTCCAACAAGCCTAAATTATTTCCTTGCATCATTCAAAGACAAAAAGATCGTGGCGTTTGCAGTTCTTGCTTCCTCTGAACACTCAAAATTTGATGGATTTAACAAAATTAATGTTATAATTAAGTGTTGTGTTTGCCTGTACATGTCAGCTATGCAATGGAAGTTGGAACTCGAAACACAGGGTTATGGCAAGCTGGAAACTTTCTGATAATTTGTTTAATAATGAGGAGATCAAATAACAAGAAAAGAAGTCGGAATACAATAACCAGCTAAGGTGCTGGAAGTGCATCCCAAAATTGGGACCACTTAAATCATCAAGCACTCATCAGAACCCAACATGAGAGAGAGAGAGAGAGAGAGAGAGAGAGAGAGAGAGAGAAGAGAGGCAAATATACAACAACAAATTTCTGGCTATTGAAAAAAAAAAGAAAAAAAAAGAAGCAAATCATCCGATTTGGGTTTTCATTCATTTTAAGTTTTAACCCCATAACACCTAATTTCATCGAATTACAACAATATCAAAACACAAGAAATTAATACATACGTACCACATTTGGGAACTTCTAGTATGTTTTCTCAAGTTGGGAATTGGAATATATCTTTGATCACCCTCCCCAATTTGTCCATCAAGATAGAGAGATCGAAGACTGACAAAATGGGCACTGACTTGAACTCAATCAATACAGCCATAATCTTCCACACTTGAGCCCGAAGGACCCAAATGGTTTTTTTGCTAACTTTACACCTTCTTAGAGTCTAATGTCTTTTATTTTATTTTCTTATACAATCGACAATTTTTTTTATATAAACGATATTCAATTTTAATCTTTGGAAAAAAAATATTCAACTTTAATCTAAACTAAATTACAAGGTGGGGGATTTGAACTCGGGTAACCAACTTGGCTAAACCCATTAAACAAAAAATATTGAGGTAAATACTCTTAATTAACCACTCCACAAGCTCTTGACTACTTGTTAAGGCATTTCATGTTAACGAAGTAATATGGGGCATTATCAAGTTGATTACCAAAAGCAGTCATTTGTCATATTCGAAAATATGTAACAAACCCTCCTTTATGAAAAAATGGAATAAAATACTACAAATTGATGAGAGCAGAGCAGCCCAGATAAAAACAAGCATTGCTTTGCTGTATCATCAAGGAAGTCACACGTGACACTGAGCATTGACAGGTGATTACAATTAGTTAATTAAGGTAAAATGTTGCCCTACAATTAATCTCACACGGCATTATGGTACCATTGTGGATTAAAGTATGCACGTGTGCAAGTGTGAAGCAGCCTCCTCTTGTCTTCCAGAAAGGCAGGGCTTGCCTAACCAAGAGGCTTCATCTTTGTATTTGTCTGCAAATTAAATTAAATTAAATTAAAGACCACACCACATTACAATGCAAATTTGAGTTTGCATGAATTATTTAAGCCAGCCCCCCTCGTGCAGCCACATCACTAACACATGAACCAAATATCAGTGGTTAAAGGCTTTGGAGATACATTGAGATATGGACAAGTTAAAATAATTGTGTAATGAGTTGGAGTTTGTGTTGGTGTTAGGGAGCATTGCATGAACATCGCTGAGATGGTGTTTTAGATCCAAATCCAAATCATGCTATAAGCTCCCATTGATTTGTGTGCGATGATAAGATAAGATGCTCTCTGTCTCCTCCTCTTTGAGGCTTTGGTCCATTATATATAATGTAGAGTAGGTGTTGAAGGAAAGGAAAGCAAAAAGCCAAGTTTGAAATTGCTAACAAATCTGAACAATATTTCAAGGCCATCATCTCTCTCTCTCTCTCTCTATCTCTCTTTTCCTAGAAAAGAAGAAAAAAAATGGCATCTGCCTCGGCTTTAAACCCGAAATCCAACTACCATATTCGGTCGATCAGCCTACCTTCGAAACCACACCCTCTATTTCAGCAATGTGAAGATCATTTGTTGAGAATAGCAGCTTCTGATGCCTCCTCTTCATCCTCATATTCGTCATCTTCCATAAGCCAGAAATTGAGTGGCCTCTTGGATTTGCATAACTGTCTCCATGAGTTGTTTCAGTTGCCTCTCACCCAAGAAGCCTTTGTCCGGGAGCGAAATGAGAAGTGGGTGGATGAGCTTTTGGATGGCTCTCTTAGGCTCTTGGATGTATGTACAGCAGCCAAGGATGCCTTGATACACACAAAGGAGTGCGCACGCGAAATCCAGTCAATCATGCGCAGAAGAAGGGGAGGCAAAAGCGGGTTCACAAATGAGGTTAGGAAATACTTAGCCTCAAGGAAGGTGGTCAAGAAGGCAGTCTGCAAGGCCCTGGGGACTTTAAGAAGTTCTCAGAAAAAATCCACCTTCTCATCCACCAACAAAGACAATGTAACTGTGGCTTTGATTGGTGTGCTGAGAGAGGTTGAAGCTGTCTCTCTCACAGTGTTTGAGTCCCTTTTGTCCTTCATCTCTGGAGCAAAGTCAGCATCAAAGATGAGAGGCTGGTCTTTTGTTTCCAAGCTGATGCTCACCAAAAAAGTTGGTTGTGAGGAAGACAAAACAGAAATAAATGAATTTGCTGATGTAGATGCTGCATTGAGCTCCCTTGTGTGTCAAGAAACAAGCAACTCTGACGGCATCGTCGACTGTGAGAACGTGCAGAGTGAGCTGCAACAATTGGAAATGTGCAGTCAGGATCTAGAAGAAGGGCTCGAGTGTCTTTTCCGGCGTTTAATCAAGAATAGAGTTTCCCTCCTCAACACCCTGAGCAACTAATTGTGAATTTTGCTGCAGTATCATGAACATCCAGGATTTTTGTTGCCCTAGATGCTAGGTTTTATGTACATAAATGAATATACATGTATTGTCTTTTGTAATACAAAATGGTGAATACTCTTTGGCTTAAATTGCGTCTACTTTTTCTCTCTCTTCATAATCATTTATTTTCGGATCCAACAAGGTCCGTTCATCATACTGATCATGAATTCCTGCAAGCTCTGATATTAACTAGCATTCTTTTGATTACCTTCTAAATTTTCCAATTATGATCCTATATGCAAGGTATCAATTAAGACATTTAATGGAAAGGGGAACTTCCTTATAGTCCAATTACAAGATGAATAAGTCTTTAATTTTTCACCCCTTCAACAAAAAAGCTATTTTAACTATGTAGAAGTTAGTTTTGCTCTGTCAACTGGGAGTCTTGAGAGGTAAATTTATAGGAGTTTTCAAAATTATGATTGAGATCACATGGGATTTCTGAAAGCAGATTATATCAAATGTCAAGGCTGTCAAGATTCTAATTGTCCCAAGAGAGATCATCAATAATCAACATCAATTAAGGCTATTCAAAGGTGGACTTCATTCTCACATGCTCTAAGCACTGAGCATATGCTGGCTGTCCTTCTGTTAGGGGGACAACAGGATGGCTTGGCAGGCTAGCTCTGCATCTCATGCTATTTTTTTTTCCAACAAAACAGAGATTAAAAACACGTTTTCGAGAAGAAGAAAGAAAAAGAGAGACTAAAATTAGGTGAAGTCTAAGATATGAAGTTGCTTGCTTCTTGCTATACAATCTTTTTGAAATCCTTAAAATCCATATGATCTTTATATCAGCCAAAGTTTTTATTAAATATTGTTTTTTCATGTAGTCATGGAATGAGTGTGGAACTTATTTAAATTGTTGGTTATTGAAAAGTGTTTACAATTTGTGCAAGTTGGGCCATAATTGAGACATTTGGATTGGAGAAAAAGGCATCATCACATTCAATTCAAAAGGAAAAAGGTTTTTGTGCCTAGTGAAAATATACAACCACCACAACCAGATAGGCAGATAGCAGGAACTTCAAATAAGCTTCACAGTCTGGTTTGTTACTAATGTAAACTACATTACAGCTTAATGTCAATTAATTAATGCTTTACACGAAGCTTCATCTGCGCCGTATTTCTCGATCTAATATCCAGGATTACAGCAGTGATTAGCATAAAAAAAACGTATTTATTTTCACGTGCAAAGATGTCACACACCATTATTGCTGCTGCATGAAACAGAAGAGAGAGAAAAAAAAAAAACAAAAACAAAAAACAGGTGCAAGTACAGATGGGGAAGACTAATAATAGGTATTGCCTTTTCGTGGATATGAGGAAAAGGTGTCAATCCACTCGTGCCCTTGTTTATTTTATCACCATTGCTCAAAATATAATATAGCATGGCGTCAATATGGAGCATTATCTTAAGGTTAAGAAACTTTAGTCGTATGATTTTATATGTAAAAATAATTGGAAATGAGTTGAGATGCCAGTGATGGGGAGACATTGCTGAGATAACACTTGGCCAAATCAAAACAATCTTGTATGGGAAAAGGTAGATAAGTTTTTCTGTTCCCCTTGGAGTCTTCTGTAGATTTGGCAGATGCAGCCTGCAGGCATGCCGCAGAACGATGGAAGAAAGGTAAATCACCAGAATGTATACATTCAACCCAGAAACCTTCTCTTCTCTGGATAGAAAGGGAAATGGCTGCCACAAATTAAAATTTTCTTGCTCGCTCTATGTCTAACGTGGATTAAAGTTAAAAATTCAATGGGACTAACTAATGACAATCACATGGCAGACTCAGATCTCAAACGCTTCTAATTATAGTGGCAATTGTACTGGTTTTCTTTCTGATTAGGGAACAGTCTAATTTGTCTAGCCTGCCAAAAAACCATTTTTAATATTTCAGAAACACAATGCATGGTCATAAAACTAATGCATCTTGCAGATCTTGCCTGCTCCCTGCTTAACAATCATGTCTAGGACCTGCAAAATAAGATGAATTAACTAATCCCATAAATTGATCAGCATGACTGAGTTTTGTATGCATAAGGCTTAAGCATAAAATAAGGATGGCTCTCACCTCTCCATGTATAATGGGACAAAGAGTTGATGCCACTCGTGCAATCTCATATTTAATTTACAGATCTCTCTGTCCAATATGTTCATCATGACTGAATGGTTGTTACATTATGAAAGCATACAATGAGATTTTATATGCAAAATGAGTTGGTGTGCTGGTGGGAGAAGAGACATTGCATAAACATTGCCTAGGGGACGTATAGATCCAAATCGAAATCATGTTATCTCTCACTGATGATTGGAGTGGATGAGATTCCATGTCCCCTTCCTCAACCAACACTATATATTAGGCAGATGCATATGGAAAGGAACACATCAATCTCAATTGTACATTAACAACAAGCTCTTTCTCTTCTTTCTTTCTCACAAGACACAAAAAGGAAATGGCTTTCCACACTCGCTCTAACAGCTTCCCTTCAAGGCCACACCCAGTCGTTCAAGAAATTGATGACCATTTGTGTAGATTGAGGTCTTCTGAGGCCACCTCCACATCATCATCATCATCAATCAGCCACAAACTGAGTGGCCTCCAAAACTTGCATGATTGTGTTGATAGGTTGCTTCAGTTGCCCCTCACTCAACAAGCCTTGGCACAAGAGCAAAATGAGAAATGGACTAATGAGCTATTAGATGGCTCTCTGAGGCTCTTGGATATTTGTAGCGCTGCCAAGGATGCCTTGTTGCAAACCAAGGAATGCGTACAGGACCTTCAATCAATCATGCGAAGAACAAGGGGAGGTGAATGTGGAGTACTCACAACTGAGGTCAGGAAATACTTGACCTCTAGGAAGATGGTGAAAAAGGCAATCCACAAGGCTATAGGAAATGTCAAGAGATCGAGTTTCTCATCCCTCAACAAGAACAATGAGACCATTGCCATTGTTAGCACGTTGAGAGATGTTGAAGCAGTCACTTTCGCTGTGTTTGAGTCCCATCTTTCTTTCATCTCCGGTCCAAAATCACAGCCAAGCAGGTGGTCATTGGTCTCCAAGATGATGCAATCAAAAAAAGTAGCTTGTGAGGAAGAAACAGAAGAAAATGAGTTTACAAAGGTAGATGGTGTATTGAAATCACTCATTGGATGCAAGACAAACAAATCTCATCCCCAAAGCCATCTTGACAATCTTGAGTCATGCATTCAAGATCAGGAAGAACAACTTGAGTGTCTATTTAGGCAACTCATCAAAACTAGAGTCTCTCTTCTCAACACATTAAACCATTAGATATTAGTTTTTCAGTTTTGTGTATGAAAAGCAGTACATGTGTACAAATATATGATAGAGTTCTATTCTTTTTCCTCTCCTCTCTTGAAAAAACTGTAGATCCCACATTGGAAAAATATAATAAGTGTTATGCACTTAATATTGTTAACTCCTAAAACTTTGTTTGCCGAGCTTAATAATGTGAGCTTGTGACCCAACATGGGGGCATTAAAGGTGGAATTTGGAACTTAGTGTAAGACATGGACAACCTATGGCACAGTGCTCTCGGCACGGTTGCTCGTGGGCTACTCTACAGTGGCAACCATGGTGGCTTATCAGAGCAGCTGTCGATCACGCTAGGCCTAGGTTCGCTCTTCACCTGACCGCCACCTTTTTTAGTTTTTTGCGATTTTCCATAACCTGTACAGATTTAATTCAAAACCTATACATTTACTTCTGTCAATCTCTCCAGTAGGCAGCAAATCCACTTTTGCTTTGCTTATTAATTCGAAATAAAATGTTTGGGGAGCTGTCCAATTCATAAAGTCTGCTAGCTACGAACCATTTTTCAACATCATGGAAGCATAACGCAATTGCACATGATCATTGAAAAATACAGATTGCAAATCTTGCCTGCTACTTGCTTAATAATCATGCCAAGGACCTGAAAAATAATATGAACTTGTTCAGCATATAATTGAGTTTATATGCATTAAGGTTAAGCATTTTAGTTCATTGAACTCTTTCCAATATGTTAGTTATGAGCTAAATTAATGAGTTCATGAGTTGGGATCCAATTCAAATCATGTCCATCTCACTGATATGATTGAAGACGATGAGATTCCATGTCCCCCTCCTCAACCAACACTATATATTAAGCAAACACAATGGAAAAGATAGTACATTAACCACTTCTTTCAAGGTCTTCTATTCTATCTTCTCAAAATACACAACAAGAAGAAATGGCTTGCCACACTCGCTCCAACAGCTTCAACTCAAGGCCACACCCGATCGTTCAAGAAGTTGATGAACATTTGTGTAGATTGAGATCTTCTGAGGCCACCTCCACATCCTCCTCATCAATTAGCCACGAACTAAGTGGCCTCCAAGACTTGCATGGCTTTGTTGATAGTGATAACCATGGAGGAAAGAGAGTATTTCAGATCTAGGTTTAGAGTGAAGAATGAAAGAAAGATAAGCTCTGTATATTTCTCTGAAGTGTTTTCTTACATAATGATGAAAATGAACTAAACACAAGCTTATATAGCTGTGTAACAATAACTTCTACACTAAGCTAATCATGCTTAACAGAATAACTAATCAGACTACTAGGCACGTGAAGAGCTAACAACTGTGCCACCTTAGCAATGACACGGGTCAGCACAAATGACACGGGTCAGCACAACACTGTTATCATCCCCCCTCAAACTCAGCTGGGGGTGAGCCAAGACTGAGATTGCCACAGTGTTTGACAAACAGGGGACTATGAAGCCCCTTTGTAAGAATATCAGCCACTTGCTCATCAGTTGAAACATATTGGACAGTGAGATCTTTGTTTTGAACTTTCTCTCGAATAAAGTGGAAATTGTTGTGAATTAATGACTAACTCACTGCCCTTAAAGATCTTGTTGTTGATGGACTTTAGACAAAGAACTCAATGATGGATGAGTCTTACACACACACACACAGAAATTAACCAAGCACAAATGACAAAAGTGTTTATAGAGGTTCAGCAAATTGCCTACATCCTCTTTGGTGATCACCTTGAGAAATTTCACTAATGAAGATAGGTTACAACTTTGGTTTACAAAAGGAAACCCCCAGTAGAACTTTCTATCGCCCATCTACCTCTTACCAAATCAAGCTCAAGCACTCCTTGAACTTGCAACCAAAAAATGTGTGCTTCGATCGAACCGGATGACCCCAACAGAAGAACCTCTTCTATCATCCTCATAACCAAGCCACACCAGCTGAATGTACGTGCATAAACTGCACAAACCTTAAACGCTTGAACCTCAAGCTTCTTCCGCTACAATACACGCAGAGTCCGGACAACCAAGTAGCAGAACGAACAATTTCAGCTGCTATAGGAGGGAATCATCCTCCCGAAAGATAACCCCTTACAATCAAAACCCTCACTTGAAAATCTAATGGTCAAAGGAAAAAACCCATGTAGCCATAAACAATGCTACCCAAAGTACATAGAGAAAATCAAAGCAACAAACTACACACTACCCACAAGGAACACCCACGAAAAAAAAAACTCTTGAAACTCCACCATGAAAGAAATTTTCAAAAGTTACCAAAGACAAGTAAAAAATCACACCCCAAGCACGGCACACCGGAATCATCGATCATAGGAGGAACATAAATTTTATCCTCCCTACGACATCCACAAAAAACACCTGCAAGAGGAATTATTAGACTCTTTTTCTTTCTTTGACTGATGGGCAATCAAATCTCAAATGCCCTTCCTTGTGACGCAGTTGTATTTGTCCTCCCGAACATTCACCTTGGAACGCGATTTTCCCCCATTACTGCTTGATCCTTATCATCCTATTTTCATATTCATGACCTACACATTCATGAAAATCTTATTGAACTCAACAAGATAGTTTTGACT